ATATATATATATATATATATATATATATATATATATATATATATATATATATATATATATATATATATATATATATATATATATATATATATATATATATATATATATATATATATATATATATATATATATATATATAGATGACATAATACCATAGTCGTATCAGCCAGTTCGACATTTATATACAACAGAATAGCTGTATGTCCGTTCTGCGCATGCCGCAATATAAACAATTTAATTAGGTTTTTATTTCATTTTATGTTCTTACAAAGCTATTGTTATACTTTGTCTTGATCATTTATTATACTTTAGAAGCATGAAAATATAAACAGTTGTCGAATTAAGTTCAATATTTTGAATACCGAAATGCAAACAAAACTTTGTTTACATATGGGCTGTACCGTATCTTTAAGAAGGTCCAAAAGTTAAATATATGAATATACCTAAATTTATTTGCCTAAAATTATTCTACAACTCATGAGTAATTTAAAAAACTTAATTTACAATGGAGGGCATGGAGCAAATTGCGCTTCAGCTAGGGGACAAACAACAGCAGTCAACACAGAAAATATGTTATCTTTAAATTTTCACGCTACAATTGAAGGCTGCTCATTTAAATTAAGGGTATTTTCGCGCCAAAACGCAGGTAAACATTAGGTGAAGTGAAGGCACCTTCAACAATGGCAAATTTGAATACAATTGTGACAAAAGTTGTGAATTTCACGAAGCTTAAAAATTGCCATTTCGTCACGCGAACATGTAAAACAACTATGAGATCGAATGCGAGCGACTATCGGAGCATCTTATTTTGAAATATTTAGCCAATCGCATATTGAAACGCCAACTCGCCTGCTTTCGTTGGGAAGGTTTGATTTTCGCGAGAAAATTTCTGCAAAGTCTGGTTACAAGACTTGTCACTCTAAACGCATTTTCTCGGCCGTTAATGGACAGGAATTCCTCAAATTTCCCCCAGAATATAGCAAAAAGCGCCCTTGTTTTGTTCCATAACAAAAAGCGTGTTGATTGATGCAATGAATAGTTTAAATTCCGCCATATGTTCCTCCAAACAAACTAGTCTGCTTTCACGGCGGCCATTTCGTTTAAAGCAGCCTACTGTCTCGTATCGTCATGCTTAGCGGCCCGAAATCTATAACGTAAGTCGTCCATTCAGCTATGACTTTTGATTGAGTAAAGAAATTTACTATTTTTCTACTTTACGAATTAATAAAGTTATTTTCATTGAATGGCAGATCGAGAAACTGAATAATTTTACTTACACACTAGTTTTTAGTTTGGCTTCTGTTTATGTAGGTAACACGTATTTAGGGCTGCACCATTAGAAATCACGTGAAGGTGGGGAATTCCCCCAAAAAAATTCGTGCAAAGAAAAATGCCTGGAAAAAAATTCGCGCAGCCATTACGTCAGAGAAAAAAAATCGTGCAAGCAAACAGCAAAGTGCAAATAGCCTTGAAAAAAAATTCTTGCAGAGGTCAGTTGCATAAAAAAGAGACATGAGACTGAAAAAATAATCGTGCCGCAAAAATGTTATACCCCCACCCCTCCCCTCCTGGGATTGCTAATGGTCCGCACCTTATTAAAAAGGATTAACAATTCTCGCAGAGAATTTGGCATTTTCTGATACTTCTCAAAACATATTTTTCTCCAGTTAATTAACTTTTATTGTGACCCATTATAAAATTGGAATTCCAATATGGATATTATATACTAGTAGATATCATTTATTGTTGCCTTTCTTTTGCATATTAGTCTCGGCTTCGAGCATTTAAGGTGGTTCGATACATTTTTCAAATAATGCGTATAATGATTAACATTTTGAAACTTCATGTAACGCGGATATCGGGATATACAAATAATTTAATAACTCGTCTTTTAAATTATGCTAATTTCGGGAACGCACGTTTTTCAAAGTTAACAAGACGCCTACTCAGGCGTTCACTCCAGGTACAGGGCCTTAACTAACGGTGATCGCTAGATAGTATACTTCAAAATAAGGTTTCCGTTTTTATAACGTAGAAAAAACTATCCTAACGCAAAACTAAACCCTAACCCTAATACTCACCCTAACCCCAACCTAACCCTAACTTAAACCCTAACCTAACCCTAACTTATTTTAATTATTTTAAAAATTGATATAAAAACGGAAACCTTATTTTGAAGTATACGGCGCAAAGCTACTTAAAGGTGATCTACAGTCCGATCTGCGCATGTGCACAAATGAGCCCACTTTTTATGATACAAACAGTTTAACTATGTTTTGAGTTCTTGAAAAGCTTGATTGTTGTTTCTTGATCACTTATTATACTCTAGAAGCTTGAAAATATAAATAGTTGTCGAATAAAGCTCGATATTTTGGACACAAAAATGTAAACAACGGCTTTGTTTACATACGGACTGTAGATCACCTTTAACGTATATGCTTATATACGGCAATGAAGGTATCTGTAATGCATGATATTTAGCATATTAAAGTTGGAAAAGTGGGAGAACTACAGTGTACCACTTGACCAGGTGACTAATAACATGCATATGTAATGATCATAATATTTAATAACATAAAAATAAAAGGACATTGTAACACTGATTATCTCTAATAAAAGCTATCTAGTTATTTATTAAAAGTTCTATTTAAAACATGCGAAGGAGTGTTTTAACAAGTCGTATATAATAAGTCGGAGGCCGTATTTTACAAATATTTTATGGTTTTTATTGTCGAGGGTAGAAATTCGAGGGTGAAAAGCTTGATGGTACATTTTTAATAATAAACTAGAAATACATGCATGCAATAACCCCTCGCCTGTTTTCAAAAGATGTATACTCAGTGCCGTTGCTAGCACTTCGTCTCAGGGTGTGTGTGAGGTTAGATAGAGGGGGGAGGGGGGGGGTGGTTACCAAAATGTTTCCAGATGTACAAAAAATTTTCAGGACATATAATAATTTTTCCGAAAATACAGTTGTTTTCCAAATTCACTTTCTCATGTCTTGAGAATTACCTGAATTCCCCTGAAAATCTTCTGCAAATCTACTTAAATTTACCTAAAAGTGCACTGGAAATCTACCTGAAATTCCTCATGAGCAATTATCAGGGGTGTTGCACCCCCCCACCCCCCCCCACCCCCACCAGTGAGTTTCACGCATTCACGCAAACACTCTCTGATTTATTGTTCGTGTATTTCATCTCCCAAAATTTTGTGCATCATACTATAGAGCATTTTGCTGTTGTCATGGTCTAGCGTGGTTCAAATTTATGAATTTTTATCATATAAAGTATAGTGTTTTATGTACTATTTAAAACACGAGTAGGAGCGTTTTATCAGATATATAACGCGAGGCGCAGCCGAGCGTTATATATCTGATAAAACACGACAACGAGTGTTTTGAATAGCTTAAAATACGACTACAAAAGAATACTAATTAGGATGAACCATAGTATAATCATGCTAATAAAGATGAACAATTATATAATGCCACATGTGTTTTATCAGATATAAAGTCACTCTACGTGACATATTATGTCTGACATGTTTGCCACAAGGTTTATGAATTATTAATGAGTATTTTAAAGCGATTTCGAGCACTGATAAAAATGATAATCTCACATGTGAAATTATTCATGATAATCTCACATGTGAAAATTATCGCCTTTTCAATTATCGCTTTTCTGTAAAAATTAGCGCTTTTCAAAGACTGTCCTTTATATAATAAACAGAAAAATACATGGGTGGTTGGAAATACCAGATTTATTTTTCGTGTTGAACATGACATCTCACTCGTTCGATGCGCTCCCTTGTTCGCTCCGCACTCATGTTCAACACTCGAAATAAATCTGGTATTTCGTGCACCCATGTATTATTCTCTATTTAAACTACAACTTGACTGGTTTAAATTATTATCAAGTTATCAGTGATAGTAAAAGTTGCAGATAGAAGTGTTTTGTTTTATATTATTATCAAGTTATCAGTGATCGCAAAACCTCCAAATCCTTAATTTCAAATGTTAGAATGTTAGGGTTTGTAATCCAAGTGAGAATATATACATTTTAAGACCTAACCAGGAACGACTGCGAAAAATGCAGCACAACGTCCTCTGGTAGGAATTGAACCTACGGCCCTGCGATTCCGGTGCAGCGCTCTAAGGTCCAACTGAGCTACAGATGCCAGCTGTTGAGCTTTAACCGTAAGTTCATGTATATTTATAGGTAATCGGGTGTGCGGGTTGTGATAAGGTGGACTTCAATAATTTGGATTC